TGCCAAGATGGCGACGGCCGGCTCCGCCCACTTTGAGCTTCAAAAACGCTCTTCAGGAACCTACGGGTGACGTCACGGACACTACGTCCATGTTTTTATACAGTCTATGGTTTATCCTAAATTTAAGGGGGCGGGGTTACAGGAGTGTGCAAACAGATCAGGTGCATGAGTGGAGGTGAGAGGAGAAATGTTGAAATTGTACGCAACAGATTTTTTTTTACACAAAAGAGAAAATGTAAATAGTTTAATTTTCAATTTATTTTCATTTTGGTTTTATTAATGAGCATTTTAAGTGTTTGCCCCGACAAACAGACAGATTTGCTCGCGCAGAGAGAGGGATTTCTTTCTCTCGTTTTTGGTCGAGTCGTGAGTTTTGTTGGAATATTTGTGGAACGTCTGGAATGTGAGGATGTTTCTCTCTCTCTCTCTCTCTCTCTCTCTCTCTCTCTCTCGCTCTCTCTCTTTCCATAAATTAGCTAATTGTTAATGTTAATTGTTGTTTGGCTTTACATTGTATTTGATCCCGGACTGAATATTTGTGACTAAATTTTAAAAGTTAAATTAGCATCTCAGCTGATATGCCCATTTTGAAATTATTGGTCAATCAGAAGTGGTGGTTTACTTTATTGGCACTCCTGCATAGTTATTTGCAGTGTGTTTTGAGAGACTGTTGTGTTGGATAACAAAGTAAAATAGTCTCTCTGCATTGAAACCCAAAAGTTCAATTTTTTGTCAAATCCTTGAATTGTTCTCCAAAGGCCAGGTCAGCTTTAAGGAAGACGTGGATGTGTCTCCTCCAACAGACTATTGTTGATATTTTATTTTGGGATATTATTAAATAATAATAACATTAATTGCATAATGCAAAAGTTGCAAAATTAAACCATACAAAATGAAATTATGCTACAATAAGTCACACTGAACACACTAAGTGGATCTAATTGGCAGCTGACATTATTTGCAATTGTGTTTCTCGTGTCTTCGCTATACTGGTCTGTAATGAGACTTTATTGAGGAAATTTCGCTCTGCCCCTTTTTCTGAAACAACCAGTCAAATTTCAAAGTGTCAGTGTTTGATCTTTGAACACTGCCGTATATATAAAGAGGAAGCAGCCTGAAATAAGACATACTACCAAATCGACACTTTCATCCAAATAACCAGGGCCTTTTAGTTCTTTTAAATACATATTTTAATTGTATTGCATGATAGTAATCTAAGCTTAATATACTGGATCTGTTTTACCTCAATCGTTATTAGAGGACTGTAATATAAAATTAACATCTTTTTTTAAGGTTGTAAGTAATCCCTTTAAACATTTAAGATCTTTACCATATTAAGGATAGCAAAACTATGTGTACCTGTATTTTTTTATATATATATTCTTACTGTGTTGTGTTCTTTTATTAACAAAATTAATGAGTTCTTTTTTCTTAGGTGAGGATGTTAACAGAGTCAGTATGTTTAAATTGTTAGTGATCTAAAAGTTGTTCAATATATATATATATAGTACCACACTATCTTCAGTCTGCCAATGAATGGAATATTTCTTTATATTTATGTTTGTACATGAACTCCTAAATCTATGTAACCATTTCAGCTTCTTCAGCTTTGACCCTCTCACTCAGACGACTTTATAAATTCTGTTTCATGGTATAAACATTCTTTTGGCAAGAAACCACTTCTCATAGCATATTCAGAACATGGCTCTGGAAGTGTTACATATCAAAATGGCTTTAACAATACAAATAAATACTGTATCAGAACTGGAACTGGCTCTTTTAATTTGACCATCATACACTTGGAAGAATATGATTTTGCAACCTACTATTGTGCTGTAAGCTTCTTGAACATTATTAAATTTGGAGAAGGAACGATTCTTCTACATAAAGGTGAGTTTATGACAATATTCTGAGCTTCACCCACAATCTGACTTCACATATGTGTGTTGTTTTAATGTATTTACAGAATGTTACATTTTTCTTTCAGAGAGTGACGGAATAAGAAGCACCACTGTTCTCCAGCAGCCTGTATCTGACAGACTTCATCCAGGAGATTCAGTGACTCTGCAGTGTTCGGTCATCAGTCAGATCTGTGCAGGAGAATACAGCGTCTACTGGTTCAGACATTCATCAGGACATTCTCATCCAGGACTCATTTACACCCGTGATAACAGGAGTGATCAGTGTATGGAGAGATCAGAGAACGGCTTTTCTACCCAGAGCTGTATCTTCAGTCTCTCTCAGACTGAACTCAGACCATCTGATGCTGGGATTTATTACTGTGCTGTTGCCACATGTGGGAAGATACACTTTGGAAATGGAACTAAGTTAATTATTGAAGGTACAGATATATTTATATTACTTATATTATATATTATATATATATATAATAAATATATATTATCTCTCTCTGTCTGACTCTCTCTCTCTGTCTCTCTCTCTCTCTGTCTGTCTCTATATATATATATATATATATATATATATGTATATATATATATATATATAGTACCACACTATCTTCAGTCTGCCAATGAATGGAATATTTCTTTATATTTATGTTTGTACATGAACTCCTAAATCTATGTAACCATTTCAGCTTCTTCAGCTTTGACCTTTTGGAATCCAGTTGTTTTAACCCTGTTCACAATCAGTATAATATCCATTATTGTGAACATATTTCTGGTGAGACTGATTCACAAGAATCACAAAAAAGGTAAATATATTAAAACAAGGTTATGGCAAAATCAAATAAGGTACTAATATTCAACAGTAAATTGTTATTTATGAAATTTATACGAGTGAAATTAACAAAGTATATTTTATTATTATCCAAAGAGGCTTCAAAACAACCCAGAAATCAAAGGAATCAGGTAATCCATTTTTATTTGCCCTGTAAGTTATAGAGAATGCAAAGAAATTCAGATGTTGTTTTGATTAAATGTTTTTAGAAGTCTGCAAAACTATTTTCCACACATTTTTTTCTTCATATCAATCAACAAACAATCTGAAGTCAAAAAGTTTGAAGTCATTAAGAATTTTAATGATTTTAAAAAGAATGCTCTTATGCTCACCAATGCTTCATTTATTTGATCAAAAATACAGTAAAAACAGTAATATAATAATAATATTATTACAATTTAAAATAACTGTTTTCTATGTTTAAAAAAATATATATATTCCTGTGATGGCAAAACTGAATTTTCAGCATCATTACTCCAGTCTTCAGTGTCATAAGATCCTTCAGAAATCATTCAAGTTCAAAAGAGCAGGATTTATTTGAAATGTATTTATTTATAACAATGTAAAATTCTTTACTATCCTTTTGATCAATTTATTGCATTCTTGCTGAATAAAATCATTAATTTCTAAAAAATCTTACTGACCCCAAACTTTTGAGTAGTGGTGTGTATGATAAATATAGTTTAAAGTGATGCATCTTTACTCAAAATGGTAACTTGTAGTGCAGATATTTTTATTAAAATAAACATGCATCACACTACTGATGAAGCGCTGTTGCGGCTTTAATTTAATGCTCAAGGGAAAAGAGTGGGTAGGCTAAGATAACTTAATTGTTTGTAGATATTTATTTATTTTCCTGCTTTCTGTGTGTTTTCTATATATTGATAGTAATTCATAAAATGTTTGTTTTTCCAATTATATAGTTTGATGGTTATTATATTTTTCCTCTGCAGACTGAGGAAACAGATGCCTTAAATTATGTAGCCCTGAGTTTTTCCAAAAAGCCTACCAGCTCAAAAAGATCTTCACAGAAAACCAGCCAAGAAGAAACTGTTTATTCACAGATTACAAAGCAATGAGAAAATTACTAATGCTGAGAAATTGTTGATTTTTTAATACCAAGTTATTTTTTAATACTAAGTCAAAATTATTTTTAATTTTTGGTGAGCCATTTTATTATTCCCTTGTCAGTGTAAAATCTGAATTGTGATGGTATAAAGAGCCACGGAGAAGATTTTGGTGTCATTAGATTCTTCGCATTAATCAAGAGACAGAGGGCCCACTGATTGATATCCATTCAGTCTCAAAAGCAAACATTCAGTAGGATCTGTGTAGTTCAGTTCATGAACAAATTACTCTTTTGAGCCTATTTTTTAATGCACAGTTCAAACAAAAAAATTAATAAATAAATAAAAATTCCGGCCTGTAACATTGCTTGTATGATTTATCAGAGAGGCAATTTATTTTCTATGTAAGCAAAATTGACATTAATCATTAACGGAAATATACTCAAATGAATGTAAAATAAATCAAATTTAATCAAGAGCTTATAAATCGAATCTGCAAATCTGTATTATTAATATCCAGCCTTTCTTGTCTAGCTAAATTCTAATTAAAGGAATAGTTCACCAAAAAGTGAAAATTTGCTTAATTTGTACTCACCCTAAGGCCATACAAGATGTAGATGTCATCTCTACAGATTTGGAGAAATTTAGCATTACATCACTTGCTCACCATTTAAACCTCTGCAGTGAATGGGTGCTGTCAGAAGGAGAGTTCAAACAGCTGATAAAAATATCACAATAATCTACAAAAGTAGTAATTCACATGACTCCAGTCCATCCATTAACGTCATTTTTGGTGAACTATTCCTTTAATTGTTCTCTTTGTTTGGGCCTGGGTACTTAAAGTGCCCCTATTGTGGATTTTTGAAAATTGCAATTCATGCAGTGTGTAATGCAGCTTTATGTGAATGTAAACAGTCTGCAAAGTTGTAAAGCTGAAAGTGCATCATAAATAAAGTTATTGTCTCTCAAAAGAAAGAGACGACTTTGAACTGCCTAAATGAGTTTTTTAAAATTCGAATCCCATTCCACGAATTTTACACGTTACAAATTCGTACATTTACGTAATGCCCACCTATGTTCTGCGAGGACATCCTGCGAAAACAAACTTCAAACCCTGTAGCTTGTTTGTGTGGATAACGTAATGTCAAGAAGACGCTGTGCTCTGCACGGTGTAAGTGAATTCATAGTAAACTAAGATACCACACCAATATAATCACAACTTTTTGCTGTGTTCTCACCATTTCACTGACGACTGCTTCTTCAATCTCCACGAGTTCAATGCGGGATTCGTAAAACGGTTTTCTTTGAAAGATGGGTCAGTGCCCAGTTTGCTTGGAACAGTTTGCTCCTCCGAATCACATCCTTGAAGTATGATTAATAATTGTTGCTTTGATATTCTGTCGAGCGTGCAAAATATGTAGTTTTGTGTGTTGTGTATACAGTCAGTGCAGCTGTAAGTCTCTGGTTAACTCACGTTATAGTTCTGCTAATCAGCTGTGGGCCTGCTACAGTATTTTCTAGAAATGTGTTGATTAATATACAATCTCAATTCCATAAAAGTTGGGACGTTTTGTAAAATGCAATAAAATCAAGAATATGTGATTCGTTAATGCTCTTTAACTTTTATTTAACTGACAAAAGTACAAATAAAAGATTTCCAAAGTTAAAAGGAAAGTTGATGTGACACAGTGTTAAACATGCCTCTGTCCCAACTTGAGTGTGTTGCAGCAATCAAAATCAAAATTTGTTTATACAAAATACATTAAAGTTGGTCAGTGAAGGTTAAAGAAAATGAACAAATAACATAGGCTACTCTTGATGTTATGGCATTTCACAAAACGTCCCAACTCTTCTGGAATTGGGGTTGGCAAACACAACTTTAACTTTAAACTAGTTAATACTACGAGAATGACAAAAATCTATTTGATATGATTGAATTTGATAATGCTTATTTTATAGACAATTTGTGCTGAAAAACTACAACTAAAATGTAAGCACTCAGAGTCTCATTTTAACACCTCAAAAAATTTTGCGGAAACTAGCTTACCAAATCCTCTGCAACAAAATCAACCACACACACACACACACACACACAGTACTAAATGTAGTACTAAATGTAGGCTAGTTAAATGGATAGTTCACCCAAAAAACAAAAATTCTGTCATTAATTACTCGCCCTCATGTCGTTTCAAACCCGTAAGACGTTCATCTTCAGAACACAAATTAAGATATTTTTTATGAAATCTGAGAGCTTTCTGACCCTGCATACGTAGATAGCAATGCAACTGACACGTTCAAGGCCAAGAAAGGTATAAGGACATCATAAAAAAAGTCCATGTGACATCAGTGGTTCAACTGTAATTTTATGAAGCTACAAGAATACTTTTTGTGTGCAAAGTAAACATAAATAACTTTATTCAGTAATTTCACATTCACAACATTACCACGACGCATGCGTGTGCATTCCTCTGCTTGTAAACAAGGCGCAGCTCATCCAGGTTCTACGTAAGAACGCCGGCTCCTGCATCAGCAGCATCACACGCATGCTCTGTGTTACTCTCGTGAATGCGTGTCGAAGACCGACACGGAAGAGAAGAATTGTTGAATAAAGTCTTTATTTTAGTTTTCTTTACACACAAAAAGTATTCTCATAACTTGATTACATTATGATTGAACTACTGATGTCACATGACCTTTCTGGGCCTTTAACGTGCCAGTTGCGTTGCTGTCTATGCAGGGTCAGAAAACTCTCGGATTTAATCAAAAATATCTTAATTTGTGTTCCGAAGATGAACGGAAATCTTACGGGTTTGGAATGACATGAGGGTAATTAATGACAGAATTTTCATTTTTGGGTGAAATATCCCTTTAATTATGGATTATAGTTTTCTCTAGTAGATGACAAGAGGTTTGGTTATACTGCAAGTCTATGAGCAGGATAAGAACACAATATGGCCCATGATTCCCCTGAACAGATCACATCTACTGTAAGAAAGATTATCCAGGAGTGCAAGAAAAGATGTACATGAAACAATCCTTCTCCCACTTTACTGAATTCTGTCACTGAGCTTGTGGGTGGTTCTTATAAATGTTATAATCTGCCTTACTAAGGGTTGGGCAAAGATACATAAAAATGTATTTTTTTAAAATAAAATACCAAATACCTTAATTTTAACAAGTATCAAAATAAACTACTGTATTTTTGTATTTTAAAAATACAAAAAATACTTTTGCAAGGGAGCATGACATTTCTTAGGAAACCTTCCATCAATTGGCCTATTTGATCTATCCTTTCATCATTACACTGACTCAGATGATTAAGTAAACAATGTTTGATAGCAACAGCTTTTCTCTGCCTGAGTCATGCAATAAATCTGACATATGCAACCAGTTAACAGATCAAATATTCACATTCACTGTGGATCTCCCAGATGAAGTTTAGTTTAAAGTAACCAACAGTTTAATGTTTAACAGTTTGTGAATGACTCACAATTGTATCCTTATTTAGTTACTTGGTGTTTTGTAACGAAGGGCCTACTTTGCATCAGCAACACTGACTCAATGACAAACAAGTCATTCATAAGAAGACACTGATGGCACCTATATTCATAGCAACTAGTTTCTAACTAATTAATAATTTGATTGTTAATCATAAATATAATAATATATTATGTGTCAGGCAGTCATTCATGCAATGGTATGTAAAATCATGATCCTATTTAAACAGCTACTTCAATTAGGGTACAATATTCAGAAATCAAATATTTATTTATCAA